TATATATATACACACACACACACATACATACATATCTGTATATTTAGAGAGGGAGAATGAGGTCAGTAGTTCGAACCCACCCGGACACCTCGGAAGACAGGCCTGTCATCTGCTTCTGAAAGGTCACGTTCTTAAAATTCCTATGGAGCACACACGGAGTCATTATGAGTCAGAATCCACTCAACAGCAACTAATATATAGATATTCAGATTTATACAAAACCACAATAAATGAAAAAAATAATAAAAACAAGTATCTGCTTATATGTGATGTTCTTAAAATACGATAGACTAAAAACAGATTTTCAGAATGAAAAGAGTTATAAAAGAAACCAGGGATGTTCTAGGCATATTTTCAAACAACCCAACTTTGGGTTAACTTGAAAAATTTCCCTACAATTATCTTTATAAAGAAAAAAAAAGTACTTAACCAAGACTGCTGATTGCCTATATAAACAATTATAATATAGCCCTAACATCCATGCACCACTCTCACATTGCTAATTAAATTTTAGAGACAACCTGGAATATAAAGCCTACAAACAGCCATAACTAGCTCTGCCTACAAACCTGACACATAGGTCAAAAGGAACAAACAGCAACTTCAGGATGTCCTTCCTAGGGTAGTGCTGAAGGGCTCTGGAGTCCTGTAAACAAAGCAAACTCACCGCCATAGAGCCTGATCCCACTCAGTGACCCCTCCTTGGGTTCCCCAGGCAGTAGGACTACAGAAGTAGATGACCCAATCTTCCTTACCAGGAGCGGCTGGTGGGCTCGAATCACCTGGCTTCTGGTTAGCAGTCAAGTGCCTTAGCCACTATGCTACCAGAGCTCCCTAGAGTACTATAGAAGGCTAAAATATTTAAAGACTGCGGGGCTGTACGATAAGCACAGAGTGAAGGGTAAAATGGAGTTGAGCAAGCACAGCTGGCAGACTTTTAAGCAAGAAAAAGTGTTGTTGCGGGACTTGAGAATCAAAAATAATCCGGATTCGGTGAGACTTAAATTACAACCACTCCCCTTCTCCCAGAGGAACACAGACAGGGCACGTGGGCTTTACAATATATGGCGCTTTATGGCGTTTTAAGACTGGTGGCCTAGTGCCTAGGGCACTTGACTGCTAACTAGAAGGATGGCGGTTCAAACCCACGAGCCACTCATCAGAAGGAAGATTGGGCAATCTGCTTCCGTAGCCATACTGCCTCAGAAACCCAAGGAGGGGTCACTGTGAGTCGCAGCCCACTTGACAGCAGTGAGTTTGGTTTGGTTTTTGGTAAGACACTTTACAATTTGTTACCACATTTACCCCTCGCATGATCCTCATTTTTAGAAGAGCATACAGGCTCGGAAAGTGGGTGGGTGAGACGAAAGACCCTAAGCCACACAACCTGGAGGCGTGAACTCTTCCTGACCCCCAAGTCCAGTTCTGTCTGCATTACAAGAGGGTCACGAGGCCAAGACCAAAGTGGCCCTGGGCTCAGGGTCCCTGGGGTTGCGAGGGGAGACAAAGATGGGCATGACAGCTCACGTCTGCGGCAGGAGAAAGCGAGGAAGCAAGAGGAGTCTGGGTGGCTGATCGTTCCTGGGAAGCATCGGTCGCGGAAAAGACCTCAGGAAAAGGCAACGAGTCCTCCACCCCACATCCACGCGCACGCCAGAAGCTGAGGGTCGGCCAGGAGCGCGGCCCGGGTCAGAGGGTGCTGCCGGCGAGGAAGGGTTGCAACGGGATTCCTCACGGCGGAGAGCCCTGTCACTCCGTACCCTTGATAATGAGGTGCGCTGGCGAGCCTGCAGTTCCCAAGGAGTCCCTCTTCTTGACGCCGCCACCCGAGGGGGCCTCACAACCCACCGGTGTCTCCAACCCTCCGCCACTCATTCCGGCTGGCTCCGCCTACTGCGGACGCGCTGCGCCTGCGTAGAACCTGCACTGTACCCTTTCAAGGCGCGCGCTTTTAGTGTCATCGAAGGGCGTCAGGGTGCTACGTCTACCCGGCGGAAAATTCCGGAAAAGATCTCTTTAAAGTAGCCACTGCTCTAAACCCGACGATTGGTTCCTCCTTGATGCATCAGGTCATGTGTTTTCTGAATAGGAAAATGAAAGGAGGTTTGAGCCAGACTCCTGATGGGACTCACTGTGGGTTAGAGAGGTTGGGGGATGAGGTGGGAAACAGTCGCTGAATAATAGTAGTAGTAATGTAAGTATATTGTCTACTGTCACTAATATTTTATAAAACATAGTCACTTGCACTGTCGCATTTGGTCATCACAACCCACAGAGGGGTGGGGACAGTTTTAGCAACTTTTTTTTTTTTTTTAAACAAACGAAGAAACAGATTAATTTACCCAAATCATTTATCAGACTCATTCATTCTCATCTGGAAAAAAAAAAAAAAAAAAAACCTGTTCTTGACATTTGTATTTCCAAAATTTCAACCATTTTGTTATATAGGCTAAAATAAAATATATGTATTAGAGAAGGGACCAGTTTACTAAGCTGCTTTGAATTGTTACAATCATGAGGAAATAAACACAGGGTTGCAGTCTGCTGCCTTTGATGAACTCCATAAATTTCATCTTGTGAGCTCTCGTGGCGTAGTGCCTAAGGCATTGGACTGCCAACCAGAAGGCTGGGGGTTCAAACCAACCAGCCATTCCTTGGAGGGAAGATTGGGCAATCTACTTCAGTGGAGACACAGCCTCGGAAACCCAAGGAGGGGTGGCTCTGAGTCCCATCGACTCCCTGGCAATGAGGTTTTTTATTATTATTATTTATTCTCAACAAGTCCTCGAGCTTTTTCAAAATACAGACAACGTGCATCTTTGCAGTGGCTTCTTTACTTCTGGTCATCATCCAATAGTTATTTCTAAGAATCATCTAAATTTCTTCTCCCTTCTCTCTTCTTCTTCAGGGTACTTAGACTCAGGAGTCTCTCAGCCTAGTGCTGAAGAAAGTACATATACTACATTTACAATACAGAGCCTAAAAATGATAGCATGGAGGAAGGTGTACAAATGTGGTTCACTTGGAAGAGTGGATGGTCTGGAAAGGCTTCCAGCAGAGGTCATGTTTGTCCTCAGACTTGAAGTGAGGAGATGTTAACCAGGTGGCGCAGAGAGAGAAGGAACTGGTACTATTCTAGAAGGGGAAATGACTAACCCAAAGGTAAAGAGGCAGAAAATACATGAAGTAATAATATGTTTGTTGTTAATGTGCTGTGGAGTCAGACCCAACTCACAGTGACCCCTCCTTAGGTTTCCCAGACAGTATCACTAGGAAGTAGATTGCTCAACCTTCCTTCCCAGGTGTGGCTGGTGGGTTTGAACCACTAGCCTTCTGATTAGCAGTCAAGTGCCTTAGGCACTATGCTACCAGAGCCCCCAGATAATTTGTAAACTTGGTTAATTACAAGTAGTTCAGTTTGGCTTTTGATCTTTATAGTTATATTTTCATTTCCTTAGTTTAAGCATAATTTTTTTTTTCAATTGTGATTTGGGAAAAAATTTACAGAGCAAATTCACTTTCCATACAGCAGTTGACATACACTTTGTCTTGTGACATTGACCACAATTTAACACAATGCAACAAGCTCCCCTCCCACTTCCTCCCCATAGTTACCTCTTCCCTTTGTCCATCCCTCCATGCACTCCTGCCCCCTGAGCTGTCTCCCTGTGCATAAGCA